GGTAAATTAAGAAATTATTTAATTAAGTCTGAAAAAAAACTAACGAAATTGTATAATTTTTAAATTATTTCTATATTAACTTTCATAATTGAATAATTTATAAATTCATAAGAATACATTAGCTAATACTTCATTAATTTTGTTTGTAAATCAATATTTTTACCAATTTTTTTTTATTAAAAACGTGCATAAAATATTGTGCGAAATGATTGTAAATTTCTTCAAATTAAACGCTTGTAATAAACTAATTTCATAGAAAATCTTCCAAAATACAAGATACAAATTAAACTTTTCTTGTTCATTAGCTAAATTAAGAAATTATTTAATTAAATCTGAAAAAACTGTCGAAATTGTATAATTTTTAAATTATTTCTATATTAACTTTCATAATTGTATAATTTATAAATTCCTATGTAAACATTAGCTAATACTTCATTAATTTTGTTTGTAAATCAATATCTTTTTAGTCTATAGTTTTTTTTTATCAAATTTTTATTAAAAACGTGCACAAAATATTGTGTGAAATAATTGTTTATTTCTTCAAACTAAACGCTTGAAATAAAAGAATTTTAATAGAAAATCTTCCAAAATACAAGATGAAAATTAAACTTTTCTTGTTCATTAGTTAAATTAAGAAATTATTTAATTAAATCTAAAAAAAAATATCGAAATTGTATAATTTTTAAATTATTTCTATATTAACTTTCATAATTGAATCATTTATAAATTCATAAGAATACATTAGCTAATATTTCATTAATTTTGTTTGTAAATCAATATTTTTACCATTATTTTTATTAAAAACGTGCACAAAATATTATGTGAAATAATTGTTTATTTCTTCAAACTAAACGCTTGAAATAAAAGAATTTTAATAGAAAATCTTCCAAAATACAAGATGCAAATTAAACTTTTCTTGTTCATTAGTTAAATTAAGAAATTATTTAATTAAATCTATAAAAACTATCGAAATTATATAATTTTTAAATCATTTCTATATTACTTTTCATAATTGAATCATTTATAAATTCATAAGAATATATTAGCTAATACATCATTAATTTTGTATGTAAATCAATATTTTTTTTAGTCTATAGTTTTTTTTTATCAAATTTTTATTAAAAACGTGCACAAAATATTGTGTGAAATAATTGTTATTTTTTTCAAACTAAACGCTTGAAATAAAAGAATTTCTTCCAAATACAAGACAAACTAAACTTTTTCGTTCATTTTTATTACCAATTAGCTAAATTACTTAATTAAATCTAAAAATACTATCGAAATTATACAAATTTATCGAATGAAATAATTTGCAGTAAATTCCTTGCTTATTTCTTTAAAAAACAAAACTAATGTTTAAATAAATTGAAACAATTCCTTCCATTTTTATAAGCTTTTACACACATTTTCTGCAAAATTTTTTGCAAAAGAAGAAAATCATTGTTTTTTTTTAAATAATAGCATTAAGTTGAAAATACATGAATTTTGTGTTAATTATATATGTTTTTTTAATTAGTTAAGCAATTATTTATCTAAATCTAAGTTTAACAACAAAATGTGTGTAATCAAACTATTTTCTGTGAAACTCAATGTTTATTTCATAAAAGCTTATTAGAAAATATTAGAAGAACCTTGATTATGTTACATTATTTGAATAATTGTAAAATGTACAAAAAATTTATATAAATTTTTGTCTAAATTTTGTATGTGTAAAGATTTTATAATTTCAAATTGAATTCAATGTTTTTTTATTAGAAGTTAGTTACATTTGGACAGAAAGATTGCCCTTTATAAAACAGATAAACTAAGTTTATTATTTACTAGTTCTTTATCAATTTATCAAATGTAAAAATTTTGAATTTGGATTTTTTTTTCCAAAATTTTGAAAGGAAATTTCTCAACGTTTATTTTTCATAATATTGGAACAAACTAAAAAGAAATTTCATTAAATTTATAAAAAATTAGTAATATTAAATAATTATTTAAAGAAATCCAAAATTAAGCAATAAAATATTTATGTTTTATATTTAAAATTTTGCACAATTTTTCAGTAAACATAAAAATATTACAATTAACTTAACCACATGTTTTTTTTTGCAAAATTAACCAATTAATCTAAAATTCATAACAATATTTATAAAATAATTTATTTACAACGAAAAATTCATATTTTTTTTTACTATTTTCAAATGAATATCTGTTTTTTAGATAATTAATTAAACGTAATAATTTGAACAGTTTGAAAGTTGAATGAACATGTATTTCATATTACTGTTAATAACATCTATGATATTTATTGAAAAACATTGACATTAGGAGTATTCTGTAATATTTATCTAACAATTTGTATACAACATTATGAATACAATCGTTTTTTATTTCTTTTTCAAAATAACTATAATTGATATTTAATTACATTTATTTACAAACATTTACTTTTTTCATTTTCAATAATTGATAAATTGATTGAAATCATGTTTATTTTCAATAAAAAAATACGAGACAAAACTGAGTCTATATCTCAAGCCCGACAACCAAAATACCGTCTATCGAAATCCCGACTATATCAAAATCCCGACAGTATCAAAATCTCGACTATATCGAAAATTTCTATAATAACATTTTTTAATTATTTCGGAGCGTAGTCATCTTATGCTACAGTTTTTTTTATTAATAACAATAAATTATTATTAATTTATTTGATTTTGTTGAATTATTCATAATAAACCTTAACATTATGAAATAATCTCAAATTCAAATAGATTATTAATTGTTGTTATTTATTATTAATAACAATTTAAAAGTGACTACGCTGTGGAGTGGAGTTTGATATAGTCGGGATTATGGTTGTTGGGATTTTAATATCGTCGGGATTATGGTTGTCGGGATTTCGATACAGTCGGGATTTTGATATAGTCGGGATTTCAAACGTCGGGAATTTGATTGACGGTATTTCGGTTGCGATTGCCACCGGACAAAACTGTAGCACAATGGAATATAGATTTATGCTCTCAATGCGAAAACGAGGCAAAACGTTTATTTTATATGCTTAAGTATAGAACAAAATTCGACTTTGATGCACAACTGTGCGTAAAGCCGTTTGTTTGCTGTTATTTGTATTTACTTCTCTGACCTTATTATCCCATCTCGTTTATTTTTAAAAACACACCTACAAAAATATATACTTTACGCACGAAAATATGCAGACAATTTCATATATAAATACATTGTTACGTAAATAATAACAAAAACAGAACCGGATTCAATTGAACATTTAAATATACAACAAGAAAAAATATAAATTTTATCAAAAATAATAAAAATATAAATTTAATACCAAATTTGTTTATATAAAATATCAATTAAATTTTAGAAAATTTCCGGACTTTTACTCGTATAGTGAAACATATTCAAAAATACACATGATATGTGTATACAAGTTTTAAAAATGATGTAGCAGGCGCACAATCTGGGACTTCTCTTCTCATCGTCACTCGTTTTGCGAAACGTCGCTCGTTAAGCGAGTCATTTTTCTTACAATTAATTTTACTCGTTAAGCGAGGTTCCACTGTATAATTAAATAATTAATTAATTTACAATCTATAGACCAGCAGTCTACAAATACGGCAGTTTGCGAAGTTATTTCTGGTCGAACACCAGGATTTCTTTTGGAATCTAAAAATAGCGACAAATTCTGTTAACATTGACACCAATTTTTTGTCAACAGTCAACATTTGAACCAGTTTTTTTTTTCTACATTCAATTACATTAATTTCTTATAAATTTTATTGTTAATTAATGAAATGAAGAAATATGTAAATTTTACAAATATTTAAAATAAAATAAAGTTTATATAATTGATTCTAAACAGGAAGCAAGAATAATCAATAGATGATTCATTCTTACATAAACAATAGATGCAACGATAGTTAAAACCGCAACTGTGCCAATTTTTATAATATTTTATAAAACATTCATAATCACGAATAAATTGGACTTTGTTTATAAAAATTGCCACTAAAGGAAGCGGTGCATGGTTTTAATTGTAATCATTTTATAATTGTATCAAATCACGTAATAATGACGAATTGTTGTTACGAAATCTTTAATAACAGTAAATGCAAGTCAATCAAATATTTTTTTTGTTGAATTTCAATGCTTTTTTTGTATCTAAATAGGAAATATATAAGAATTAATATGTGCATAATTATGAGCGCAAGCAGGAAATACATCTTATCCGCTCGAATCTGATGATTGGGCAATAATAAATTAGTTTTCGTGAAAATTAAAAGGAGAAAGTGCGTTTACACAACGTAGCTTTGATTTTATATTCCGTGTCTTTTACTAATTTTTATTACTTATTTTTTTAATCAACGTTTCGTAATTAATTAGTGTTTCATATTTATTTAAAGAGAAATAGTTACAAATATATATTTAGAGGGCCACGACTTGGGAAATCGTTGAAAAACAGGAAACTGGAGGATTTGTTTGAAAAACTCTTTGAAGATGTCGCTAGTGTTTTCTGCGCGATCAATACTTTGCTTGCAATAGTTTGCAACCCAATATACAATATAATATTGATTCATATTTATTTATAGATATTTATTAATAATTATATTAATGCATCATTGTTAAATAGTTATAAAAAATATTTTAATATGAAAAAAAAATCTTTAATAATTGAGTTTTAAAATAAATTAGTTTTTTCTATTCATATAAGAAAAAATTAAAAATAAATAATTAATTAATTGAAGAACGTATCAAATAATTGTATGGTAATAATAACATTTTTAAGTACTCTAGAGTAGGCAACCCAATTATCATTTCCGTTTCCATTGAATGAAGTTATGCAACATTCATGTTTTTATTACATAATTGATTATACAATTTTCTAATTATAAAATTTGATCAATCAATCAATCTAATTAAAGCTAATGATTTAGAAAATTAATTTATTATATTAAGTTTATTTTTTCAATTAATTGATTTATTAACGAGCTAAGGCCTGTACAAATTTATCTAAGTCTAAAGTTCATCGTGATGATAGGTAGATGGAGCTACGTAATCGTACAGGTCTTCAGGCAGCGTCGAATTGTACATTTGATTTGCTAAATGCATGTAGCGTTTCCGCACATGAAAAGCGGCAGTCTTTGGTTGTCTCGTCCTCGTGAACAAGCCTTTCCTGTTTCCTCCAACCCTTGTATAAGCTGCAATTAAACAAAATTAAATGGATAATAACAAATTTAAGTTGATTGATCAAACTTTGAGCGGTTTTGAAGTCGGCGAAGTTCCATATGAATTCCCCGATGAACCATTCCTGCCTCCTCAGATGATCGAAGGCCTGGAAATGCTTGGAGAGTAATTGCACTTGGTATTCTTCGGACCAAATGTAAGCTGGATGCTGAAATGAAGATATTGGTTTTGTGTTTGTTGGGAGTTTAGTAATGTTTGGTTTACTATGTGAAGACCGGGCATGGTGTCTCCTCCGTATTCCGACATCAAAACTGGCTTATTGTACTTCTCGTGCCAAGCCGAGGCTTCGCTGATCACGTAATTCTGGATCATGTCCAGTTGACCTCCGTTGCTGTACCAAGCGTTGTATCGGTTGAAGCTGATGAAATCAAGATGTTCTCCCTAGAAATTAATGGTTTCAATGATGAATTTGTTTTTGAAAGATTTGTAGAGTTATTACGGATTTATCTTCGTAGACTCCTCGGGCTACAGCTAAAGTGATTGGTCTAGTTGAGTCTAAGTTCCTTGTATGATTGGCCACTTCCCTGTAATTAGTTATAATTACTTTAATAGCAGAATGATTGATGATTCAAATTTACCCGAAATAGATTCCAGCTTGCTCGGATTGGGTTCTCGGTTCGTTCGCTATGGACCAAGCTATAACGCTAGGTCTATTTTTGTCGCGTTTTATTAATTCTGTCAATGATTTCTTATGCTTCTCCAACAAAGATAAAGAGAAGAGTCTGGAATAATACAGTATATTACTTAACAAGTTATGAATGTTTGTAAATATTCTTACTCTGTATCAACGCTCGGGCATTCATCTATAACCATAATCCCGAATTTATCCGCCAAATCCATGATCTCTTCGGCGTAAGGATAGTGAGAAGTGCGGAAAGCATTTCCACCAATCCATTTGATCAAGTTGTAATCCTTCATGATCGTCGGTAAATCTAAACCTTTTCCTCTGATATCAGCGTCCTCGTGTTTGCCGAAACCTTGCAGATACAACGGTTTTCCGTTCATCAAGAGACTGGTGTTCGTCCAGGTGATCTTCCTGATCCCAATTTTCTGACGATAAACATCCTTCAATTCTCCTTGAGGCGTCAGCAGTTGCACGAGAAGAGTGTACAAGTATCCTGGTTCTGGATGCATCAAGTAAGGCCACCAAAGTTTAGCGAATCGCACGTAAAGAGCGCCTTCATTGTAACCCAGACCATCATCGCTGGCAACAGTATTACCACTTGCATCCAGAAGAGTCACGTTTACTAACAAATCGATGTTAGAAGCGTAGCTAATGTTGTAATTCACGATGCCTATTAAAAAAAAATATATGAAAACAAGAACAATGATTGAACTGTTTGGAATTACCGGTCTCTTCATCGTCGTCCACATCCGTAATCACTGTTATGTCTGATATAAAGCTGTGAGGTTTTGCGTACAAAGTAACCGGTCTATGGATTCCCGCGTAATTGAAGAAATCGAAGCTGTAGGACTGCATCAACTTTTTGCCATTCTCTCTGCGAAATGCCAATAAATCAATAAAATTTAAAAACGTAATAGATGATCTTACGTCTGGACTTCTCGCAAGGAGCCTTGAGGAATCGTGTCTGGTAACAGAGTGTTGTCGCAGGCGACAGTCACATAATTCTCTTCACCGAATTTGATGAATCTGGAAATCTCCTTCTCGAAAGGCAGATGCCCGATCTCGTGGTTCATAGTGTAATTACCGTTGATCCACTACGAATTTACATAAGTTTTAGCAAATGTAATTTTATTGGATATAATGTGTTTATAGTTACCACTTGCGCTGCGTAAGACACTGAGCCGAATCTCAACCATACTCCTTGGTACATCCAAGATTTTGGTACGAAGAACGCTCTTTGATACCAAACCAATCCGACGTGATCTCTGATGTCTGCGTTTTGCGTTATATCGTTGTAACTCGATGGCACAGGCATCAGCATGCTCTCAATATGCTCCAACTGAAATATCAATTGTTAAAGAATTGAAGAATTATTGTTTCTCAACTCACTTTCGATATGTCCTTTTTGTACCAATGCTCCGAAAACCCGATCAATTTATTGTAGTACGATGAAACAGCGAAATTCCACAATCCATCCAGACTCTTCACCTCCCTCGTCTCGGACTCTTGCGGGTACAAAATCCCACATTTTGCAAACGAAATGCAACAGACGAGGAAGCAAAATTCCGTCAACATCCATGATAATCTAAACTCCATGCCGAAGCTTCAAAACAAAACAGAAAGTGTCAGTGTTTTTTTTTGTTGTATTTCAAAATTGATTTATTCAACGCGTTTGAATTATTCATCGCTCCACAAAATCGTACTTCCTCGTTTTCATCGCAACAAACCGCGTATTAATTCAACTGCAATGCGTGCACGATACAAATGAAAAAAACAGCAACAACAAAAATAAATTTCTTTAATTGCGCGTTTGGAAATTGCGCAAAATCTGGGATCTGAAGTTAAACGTTCATCCGCTTAAATTCGCTAATTATTAACTAATTGCGCCTCCAGTATATACCGGTATCCGCGTTGTGCATGTTTTTAAATAGTCGATTCCCCTGTTATTAGTATATTTAAACGAGAACTATATTTACGGATATCAAAGAGCTCTTACTTTCGAAACTATCCAATTCGAATAGACAATTAAAACAACAACTGCTTACTGAAAATAAAACAAACTATTATTCATAGTGAAAGTAAAACTATTTGTAAGTTAATATATATATAAAATAATTGTATGACATAGTGCGGATTCGATAAGTCCGGATTCATTATAGTCCGGTTTGTGCAATTCAAAGCAAACTGAATTTTAAATGACATAATTATTATTTTTATAAAAAAATATCGCTTTTTTTAAAGTTTTACACAGTCAAGTCGCTTTTTTTTAAAGTCATTGGTTTCAAACAGTCCGGTCGAATTGTATAAAGTGAACATTTGCAAAATGAGAATCTATTTTTAGATTACAACTATTGTATAGTTGATTTTTTAGTAAGTTTATATAAATATAAAGTGATAATGAGAGCAAATTTTCAGATAAACAAATATTTCTTTTCTCTATCAAAATGGTTACATTGTTTTTAATATAAAGTAAGAATATATGTAAAATTAGAGTCAATTTTTGGATAATAGAATATTTCTTGTCTTTACTAAAATAATTGTATTTTTTTTTTAAATCTAAAGAGTTTATCTGTAAAAAGACAGTAAATTTTCGAAAAATAAAATAATTGCAGTTTTTTTTAATATAAGGCGAGAATATATGTAAAAAGAATGTAAATTTTTGTATAATCAAATATTTCTTATCTTTACTAAAATAATTGCACATTTTTCTTAACTATAAAGTAGGAATATGTAAAATAAGAGTTTTTTTTTGCATAATTGAATATTTCTTGTCTTTACAAAAATAATTGCAGTTTTTTTTAATATAAGGCGAGAATATATGTAAAATGAGACTAAATTTTTGGATAATCAAATTTTTCTTATATTTACTGAAAGAATTGCAGTTTTTGATATAAGGTGAGAATAATATATGTAAAAAGAGAGTACATTTTCGGATAATCGAATATTTCTTCCCTTTACTGAAATAATTGTAGTTTTTTGTATTTACTAATAAATTCTTTCTTATATTTACTAAGTTAATTGAATTTTTTTATTATAAAGTCAGAATATATGTAAAATAAAAGTAAATTTTAGGATAACCAAATATTTTTTGTCTTTACTATAATAATTTCATTTTTTTGAAATCTAAAGAATATATGAAAAAGAGTGTAAATTTTAAGACAATGGAATATATGTTGTCTTTAGTAAAATAATTGCATTTTTTTTAAAATCAAAAACAAGAATATATGAAAAATGAGAGTAAATTTTCGAAAAATCGAATATTTCTTGTATTTACTAAAATAATTTCATTTTTTGAAATCTAAAACGAGAATATATGAAAAATAAGAGTAAATATTCGAAAAATCGAATATTTCTTGTCTTTACTAAAATAATTTAATTTTTTTTTAAATCTAAAGCGAGAATATATGAAAAAAGAGAGTAAATTTTCAGAAAATGGAATATTTCTTGTCTTTAGTAAAATAATTGCATTTTCTGAAACATAAACTGAGAATACATGTAAAATGAGAGTAAATTTTTGGTTAATTTAATATTTCTTATATTTACTAAAATAATTGCATTTTTTAGTATTAATATCTGTAAATAGATTTTCTTGGATAATGTAGAAATATTCCAATTTTTCTTTCTTGAAATCTACGTATAACTTATGCAATAACTTACAGAATTGAAATAAGAAATTCATTACTGCAGCAAATCAAATCATGTGAATTGCCAAAACTTATACATCAAAATTAAAGCGGGAAATTCGTATAAATAGAACTCACTATATAATTAATTAAATTAAAACTCAACATTTTTAATTATAAATAAATTGCAAATTCTTCGTCTTCAAAAAAAAACTTTGATTAAACTCAATTAATAATCGTTCCGCAGATCGAAGAACCTTGCCTGCATTCCACTTAATTTTATTGGCGTGAGCTTAAAGAAATTCCATATTTTACGACGAAAACATTCGCATGCAAATTTCGTGCAATTTCGATAACGTAAAACAGAAAAATAAAACGCTCGTCTTCATTTACGTACCTAAAGCAATTACGTTCTTATTTTTCCTTTCTCGAATTATTATTTTTCAAAAAGAATAAAATCCGGTTTACAGCAACGTCTCGTTTCTCATAAAAAAAAACACACACAGAAAGCAAGGATAATTATTCAAATTTACTGCAGTTTTAAAAATCGTCGCTTTTTTCAAATCGAAATTCATAAAAAAATATTTTAATTAAGTTTTGAAGAAACAGAGAATTTTAGACAATTATTTTATAACAATTCAAATTTCCATTAACCAATGCAGCAATTCATAACATAGTGCGGATTCGATCAGTCCGGATTCACTATAGTCCGGTTTGTGCAATTTATGCATTAATTATTCATTTATACAAAAATCATCACAGTCAATTATTACAATTATTTTATAACAATACAGTCAGGTCTCTCTTTTTGCAGTTTATTTTAAAGTCCTCGGTTTCAAACAGTCCTATGAAACCGCACTATGTGAAATATTGTTGTATTAACAAAGATTAGTTTCAATGTTCTGAAGAAACGCGGTATTTAGACAACTATTTTAGAATAATTCAAATTGTCCATTAGCCAATACTGCAATTCCTAACATAGTATGGATTCAATCAGTCCGGATTCACTGTAGTCCGGTTTGAACAATTCAAAGCAAACTAAATTTTAAATGACAAAATTATTATTTTTATACAAAAATTATTGAATTATTCAAACAGTCCGGTGGAAACGCACTATTTGATATATTGCTGTATTAATAAAGATTTGCTTCAATGTTTTGAAGAAACGCTGAATTTTAGACTATTATTTTATAATAATTGAAATTCCCATTAGCCAATGCAGCAATTCCTAACATAGTACGGATTCGAATAGTCCGGATTCACTATAGCAAACTAAATTTTAAATGACATAATTGTTATTTTTTATACAAAAATTATCGCTTTTTTTGTAGTTTTATACCTTGGTTGTATAAAACTACAAAAAAAGCGATCTCTTTTTGTGCAGTTCATTTTAAAGTCCTCTGTTTCAAATAGTCCGGTGGAACCGCACTATGTGAGATATTTTTTTATTAATAACAATTTGTTCCAATGTTTTGAAGAAACGCGGATTTTTAAACAATTATTTTATAATAATTCAAAGTAAACTAAATTTTAACTAATGTTAAGGAAACATTTGTTCTTACACAATTTTTTTGTAATTAATATAAACGCATATTCATTTCTAATAGAAAGTCGTCGATTACTATCCAATCCGGAACTTCTACAAATCTCAAAAAGGAAATACACCTTTTTTTCGCATTCATTCGCGCTTCAAGGTATTCGCAGTATCGGTTTTATATAATCGTTTTTAAATACAGGAATTATGTTTTGTATTATGGATTTAATTTGCTGCAACGATCGTTTCTTTGTTTTTTAATTAAAGGTGTATTAATTATGAAGATCAATTTGTTTTGTCTCGAAGGTGACGTATGTATCTAGATTACTGCAAACAAGAAGTTGCTTTTGTTTACTAGTATCGATTTCTCGCAATCATTTGTAAAATAGAAATTTGTAAATAACTTAACATAAATTTATATATTGGTTCTTTCCACCTTTTAAATCAGGTAGTAAGACAATGAAGTTAAGTTTAATTGTGCAAAGATCGCTGCAGCTGCTAAACTCAAGAGAGTCTCGTAACACTCTTAAGTGTCAAAAACCAGTCAAAACAAGCAGTTGTTTTGAAGGTGCTCGAAATGCGGTAAGCAAATCCTTACAGTTTTTTAATTCTTCGTGGCGACATTTCATTTTTTACAATCGATCTTCTGTTTGTATGTTTAATTACCATTGTTCGAGCGTTTCCATGAAATTAAATTGCGAAAACAAACATTGCTTCTCAGATGCATGCATATAGACGACGACGACGAACATACTTGGAATTGAATGAAGAAAGGATACAAGAAAAAAAAACAAACCGCAGTCAGTTTGCTTATTTCCCAATGCTATCTATTAGCGATAGATTAACAGCATTCTTTCACTCGTTCGTAATGAATTTCTTGTTAAGTCACACCGACTGGAGTGAACTGGAGAAATGGATACAGTAATTTGTAAGTAGTCATAATAATAACAAGTTGATGTGCGAGGAAACGAGTTTACTTTATTAATTAGGAAGTTTTCAAATGGAAGTCAATTGCTTTTTAGTTAAAATAAACATCAATATAAAGATTTGTTTCAATGTTTTCAAAATTTCATTTTAGTTTAGTTTACATTTCAAATTTTTTCTTTGAAATTAAAATCTTACAAATCAAAATAAATATGAAATCATTAAATAAAGTAATAAATTTTCATTAAAAAAGTGCATAAATTACAATTAAATCATTCCTAAAATATATTGAAAAAAATACTGTATTTTTGCTTCTTGCGAAATAATTTTCTTTTAGATTTTAATGAAAAAAATTATGTTATGTTTGTTTCATTAAAAATAATTACATTTGTACTTTATTACATGAAATATTCCCGTTTATCGAATTATGTCACAAATTTGTAGAAGCTTACTAAAAAGTTTCTTTATTTTGTAATAAAAAAATAGTTAATATTTGTAAATTAATAAAAACATATATTATGAATTATGCAATGAGATGTATACAAAACGATTTTTTAATGAAAATTAATTAAAAGAATGATTAAAAAATTAATAAATTTTATTGGAAAAAAATTGATTATAGTAAAGTTGTAATAAATATAATTAAATGTTGTTTGTCAAGATCATTCGTAATTTATTACTACTTAAATAACCCTGAAATACCTTTCATTCTGAGGTAATGTTGGAATTATATTTGTGTTTTTTATTTTCTCTCTTAACAATAAGTTTTGGATTTCGATGTTAGTATGTGAAGTGCGCACGTAACAATCTTTGGATATTCTTAAATTTGAATTTCAAATTCAATAAAATACAGTTGCCTTTGTCCACTTACCTTTCGTTCGAATGATTATTCAATAATACAATTATAAATGCAAGAAGGAAATATGTAAACATTCACTTACCGTTATTATTTAATATTTTCTAATGAAATTCTATTCTTTGGTTTCGTGCAAATGCAAGTGTCGGAGTGCGGAGTGTCGTCGCAGGGCCGTTTAGGTAGGACTAAGTGCACGGACTACACGGACTACGACTAGCGAGCCGTGTGCGCTCTTTTGTTTGGCAGCGAATCCGAGGTGCGGAGTGCCCCTTTTTCACCAAATCTAGGCTATTGGGACAACGTCCCAGTCCCTCTTCTGTTTACTCTGACCGAAACAAACAAACAAACAAACTAGATTCCGTAAAGATAATAATGCCAATTGCAACTTTATTTCTAAACTTCAGGACAATGATAAAAACTGAATGCGACCGACAAACAAAACTGAGGATTAAATGTGTTTGCTAGAGCTTTTTATATGTGCGCTCTAACGCTCGTTGCTGCAGACGTAATCGTCCAAATCGCCCGGCAGAGGAGAGTTGTATAACTCGTTGGACAATCGGTGGTACCGTCTTCTCAGATGGAACGCCGAGGCTTTCGGTTGACGATTCCTTGTGAACAGACCTTTCTTGTTACCACCAACTCTGTTAATCTCTGAAACATTACAATTACCCAAATCGAATTACAAAATTTAAGACTTACTTTGTGATGTTTTGAAATCGGCAAAGTTCCAAACAAATTCCCCAAGAAACCAACTCGAATTCCTCAACGAATCGAACGCCTTGAAATGGTTGGATAACACGGCTATTTGATATTCCTCCGACCAGATGAAATCAGGAAGCTGAAATACTGAAAAAATCTACCAAAAATCATCACTCGACTATCTAAAATCCTCACGAAATGCAATCCCTCCAAAGTATCGGCTCCGTATTCAGACATGAGTACAGGTTTCATGAACTTCTTCCTCCAGTTCGTCGCCTCCTCGACTACACGTTTAACAATCATATCCAATTTTCCTTCGTTTTGATACCAAGAATTGTAACGATTGAAACTGATAATATCCAAATATTGAGCCTTTCAACAGAAGACAAGTTTTACTTTTAGTTTATCTTATCTAGTCAAATTACCAATTGATCTTCGAAATAACCGCGATTCAAAGAAGCTGTTACAGGTCGACTTTGATCTAAGCTCTTGGCGAAATCCACCACGTTCCTGAAATAATGATATTTTAAACGATTCTTGAATGTAATCAAGTAATTAAGATTACTTGAAGTATTGTCCGGTATTCTTCTTGTGAGATCTTGGCTCATTCGCGATGGACCAAGCTATAACGCTAGGTCTATTTTTATCTCTATTCATTAAACGCTCAATCGAATCTTTGTGATTTTCCAGAAGCTTTGGAGAAACGAAGCTGAAATAATTGAATCATTTATAATTATTACCGGTATTTTCAAATTTAGGCAACCAAACGATCATTGAAGATCTCAAATTTACTCGATATTAACAGCAGGACACTCGTCGATGACCATGATTCCCAAACGATCAGCCAAATCCATGATTTCTTCAGAATAAGGATAATGCGAGGTGCGGAAAGCGTTTCCTCCGATCCACTTGATCAAATTGAAATCTCTCATAGTCGTGACCAAATCGAATCCTCGACCTCTGATGTCAGAATCCTCGTGCTTCCCAAATCCGTGCAAATAAATGCGTTTTCCGTTGATCTTGAACTCATCTTCGTTCCATTCTAACACTCTGATACCGAATTTCTCCCTGTAAACGTCCGAAACACGTCCATCGTAATCCAACAAAAGAAACTGAAATTTCAGGAATTAAATCAATAATAATTCAACTTGAAGTTAAACGTACTGTAAAGGTGTATTGATAACCAGGATTTTGATGCATCAAGTACGGCCACCAGAGATTCGCTCGTGGCACAGTTACATTCCCTAAACAACCTAAAGTTTTAACAATCAATTTCTCGTCTTGATCGTGAAGATGCACTTCGACATTGCGAGATCCTATAGTCGACACGTTGAATTGAACGATTGCTGCTTAAATAATAACACTATTAGCTTTAGTTTGTTATTAAATGACAACGACGTACCAGATCCTTCAGTTAATGAGAGAGTTTTGATGTGGACATCTTCGATGTAAATCTTTGGGGTTGTGTAAAGGAGCACGGATCTGTGAATCCCCGCGTAATTGAAGAAGTCGAAGGTGTACGTTTGCTGTAACTTCACGCCGTCATCTCTGAAATCTTCAAATTGAAATCTATTGAAAAACAACAATATATTTGTTATTCACGTTTCGACCAGGCTGATGTTTCCTTGAGGAATCGTGAAGGGGAGTAAAGTGTTGTCGCATGAGACAGTCACGTTGTTTTCTCTTCCGAATTTAAGGTAATTTGTAACGTCGAATTGGAATGGTAGATGACCCATCTCGTTCGCTCCAACGAATCTATCGTTAATCCACTTAATATTAGTTTAGATATCTCTGCTTTAATTTGTTTAGGTAGTTACCACTTGAGAGGAATATTGGACGGATGAAAATCTTAACCAAACGCGATTTTCCTTCCAAGAATTTGGCGTGAAAAACGATCTTTCGTACCAAACTGCACCAACGTGTTCACGAACGTTTAACTCAGTGGAAACGTCGTTGTAGCTCGAAGGTACAGGCATTAAAGTTGCATCATTCCTCTAAAGATATTTCGAAACATAAATAACAAAATCAATGATGATGTAAATCTGTAAACAAACAAAATTGTTCATTACTTTATCCATCTTTGGTTTGAACCAGACTAGATCTCCGATGCTTGTGGTATCGACGAGGAAGTTCCAAATACCGTCGAGGGAGATGATCTCTCGGCTCTCAGAAGTTTTCGGATACAAAAGTCCGTGGATTTCGTTCGCGCATAGAACGAGGAGAAGCGACGTCGTCAGCTTCATGTTTATCTGTAATGAAATGCGAACTGATTCAGTATGCAAATCAGTTGTTTATTGATGGAAACGGAACGGAAACTTCATTGTCTTATCCCTATCTGCACTTACTCCACTTCGTAAATTGTTCAACTTTCTATTCATCATCCGTTCGTTTATTTCCTTTTTTTCCAACATAAAAAAAAAAACGATAAAAACCTCATTACATAAACTTCAAACTAAGTAACTTATCATAAATTTAAGTACATTATTTACTTAATTGAATCCATTAGTAAAATTACTAAATAATAAAAGTAATACATGATTATTGTAATAAAATATTTATATTATAAATAAAAAATTTACCAATTTATTTTACTTCTAAAACTTAAATTATTTGAAAAATTATGCAATAAAATTAAAAAATATACAACTTTCTGTTGCGTAAAATCATTTAAATGATGCAACTTTGGTTGCATACCACAAAATTAATATAATTCAACTAGTATCCTATAGATGTCTATTGATGTGTTAATTAGTTTTTAATTTTTATATGTAGCTTAAATAATGATTATTTTTTAATTATCACTAATTAAACTAAACTCGCAATTAATTACTTAAATAAACCAATTAAAGTTTCGTTTATTTAGAAACAAAAATAGATATCTTTTGATAACCAATTGTTAAAATTATGACTAACAATAATAATTTGTTGAATATTACTAATTATTTTTTTCTTCATTTCTTAAATTAAAACAATTTCTATTTAGTGGTTAAGAGTTTAACTAGTTTCATTGGAGGCGTATATGAGATCTGGCTGAAGGACAACGGGAATGCATGCATCATCAACATCATCAGTTCCGGAAATGAATGGGATTCTAACATTTCTTTTTTCAAAAAAATATCTCCTCAACATCACGGTCATTGCAATTGTGTTGAATAACATTAATCATGGAATTCAATTGCAAATGACATTCTAAATGACAAGATTGTAAACTATTTAATTGATGCATTTAAGAAGTGGAGCAAAACTTTGTATAGTGATGCGTTGCAAACAGCTTATAGACTCTGCGGAAGATTAAAGTCCGCTCGATTTGAGACTGTTGGAGAAGCAAACTTCTAAAACCTATTGAAGTTGGTAATTAAAAACTTTAATAAACAATGAGATTTGAAGGAACAAAAGGTATTGAAATGCAACTTTCATAATAATACCAAAATGATTATTTAAATCTATAAAATGTATAGAAAGTAAAACGTAAGTTTTTTTTTTACATACAAAGCAATTTGAATAATATTGTAGCACGTTACACAAGTTTAAAAGCCACACAGAATTCGTCGCAGATAAGAAGACTGTTTAACATAGACATGATTACGTAATAATCATCTGTGATTAATCTCTATCTTATATAAAGAATGATAATTGTAATCTTGAGCCGAAGTAACTTAACTGTTGCACTTTGAAATGTACGTTGCAAAGCTGAATTTCCGCATATACAAGTACACATTTTTTGTATTACATTATGCATTTCATTACGTCTATGAATATTATACTGTGTTTATTTATAATATTGAATTGTGTTTAAATTTTATAAATAATGTTGCATAATTTATTTTCGAAATAAATTGTGCTGTTTTTTACTAATTAAAAATTTGATAGTAAATTTAATAATTTTATATTCATTTTATTCCTTGTAATCTTAGCTTTATTTCGCATATTTCATGATTAATGTAGCTTTATTAGTTTTTGAGATTTTGGTTAAATACTGAAAACATGGTCTAAACATAGGTTTAGATATTGGTTAAAAACTGAAACACTGCATTTTTCATGTTGAAATTTTTCCAACTTAAATTTGGCAGAAAATTATTCAAAACCCATAAGTGTCGTATATATTATTTCATATTCATTTTATACCCTATAATCTTAGCTTTATTTCGCATATTTCAGGATTAATGTAACTTTATTAGTTTTTGAAATATTGGTTAAAAACTGAAGACATGTTAAAAATCTTAAATCTCATCGTTAACAGACATTTATACAAAACCTATAACTGTCATATATATCATTTTATAGACGATAGTCTTAGCTTTATTTTTCATATTTGATGATTGATGTAGAGTTATTAGTTCTTGAGATATTGGTTAAAAACTGAAGACACTACCTTTTGCATGTTGACATTTTTCCAACTTAAATTTGGCAAAAAAATTATTCAAATTCTATAAGTGTCGTATATATTATTTCATATTCATTTTATTCCCTATAATCTTAGCTTATTTTCACATATTTCAGAATTAATGTAGCTTTATTAGTTTTTGAGATATTGGTTAAAAACTGAAGACACTGTCTTTTGCATGTTGAAATTTTTTCAACTTAAATTTAGCAGGGAATTATTCAAAATTTATAAGTATCAAATATATCATTTTATTCACTATAATCTTATCTTTATTTAGCTTATATGATGATTAATGTAACATTATTGGTTTTAAAGATATTCTTTAAAAACTGAAAAAGAAATGCTTAACTTTGGGAGCAATTTATTCATAACCTAAAGCGTCATATATAAATTATTTTTTTACAAATTCAATTCCAATAATATTAGCTTCAATTAGCATCCTTAGAAATGTATCTAGTATTACTAGTTTTGGATATAATCGCTAAAAACTGAAGACACTAATAATCCCATTTTTTTTAATTGGACAAATTAGACAAACAGTAAACCGAATACGATATATATAAATTATAGCTAAGATTAAATTGATTTAATACATTGTCATTTTTTTTGTAGTTCATTTTCAAATATTTCATGCAATGATTTTCCCAAATATGTAATAAGCAAATCTAATGTAATCATTAAACTATTAATAGTTTGTATGAAACTCTGTATAGAATATTAAAAAAATTAAATGTAATAACTGTAATTTCACTTCATATGTCGAAGAGAACTAAAACCGAACGAAATATTGAATATGCAAATGAAAGCCGCGACTATAGGAAATAAAATGTGTAATGAGAAACCACTTTACAATTTATGTAAGTCACGTAATTCTCCATAAAATTTGAATAAATATACCAACGATATTAACAAAAAAAGAACGTAAAGAAATAAAAAAGAAGTATATTGGAATATGGTATAAACATAATTACCTTGAACTGTCCGCTGCAGAACCGAGCGATTCAGACGTTTTAACAACAATTATTAAATTCCAATAATTATGCAGATCCGCATAAGATAAAACGAAAACAAAGAAAACGTGCTTACTTCAGGTAAAGACATAACTGAATTATCCTCGGTCCATTTATATATTTAAATTAATACCTTTATTTCGATCAGTTTCTATAAAATTATGTTGTTCAAATCCATTAAAATCGTGCTCGTAGCTACTTATAATAAATAAATTAGGTAAATTGTCTGTATTAATAACGCATTGAATAATATTGTTACACCTTTCTTTGGTGCGTGATTATTGTAAGGTTATTTTGTTTATGATCCAGGAAAACGATAGTTTTAATGCTAATCTAAGTCATTTATTATTAAGTATTAGTAATAGATGTATAATAGAAATTTGTAGTAATTTGTTAATATTTACATGAAACAATACAAATTTATAGAATAAGTTATTACAAATACTTCCTAAATGGGCCAATAATAATTGTTAAATGAAATAATATGTAGATGAATCATTGAAAAAAAAAATTATTTTTGAACGAAATTATAGTAAACATTTTAGTAAATTTGTACATGTAAAATGTATGAAATAATGATTACATGAATGGATAATCTTGCTTTTAAATAAATATATATATTTTGGGTGAGTGATGATGGAGTTGAGGTTTGGTGTTGTAAAGATCTGAGGTAGTAATTTGTGATGTTCTACTTGTCGTGGTTGTAATAATATGAATTAATTATAATAATGAGGTGATGTGAGAGGATGGTTAAAAAGTAAGTTTCTAGGTAAAAGAGAAACTGGTTGGGTTGTTTACCTTTTTTTTTGTATTATTTTTGGAGCAGTTGATGGTCGATGCTGCTGCTTCTGAGGCTGTTATCAATGTAATTTTTGCAGCGAGGAGCGCGTGTATAATGATGGGTTTCATGGGTAACATAGCTGTCGGTGATGTGCGCTAATCTAGATAATGATATGTGATTAGGTGGCGATAGTTGGGCTATGCCCAATGGGTCAATACGTCGATAATTGATACACGCAGTGAGCTCACTCTCCTTCTCTCTGTTTCTTTTAAAGTTTTTTTTTTGTCGCCGGAAGCGAGTAAAAAGATGGACGTGAACCAAACAACATCCGTCCGGTCAATGCACTTTTAATTTGAAAAGAGCGATAATCCCTTTCGCCTCTCTATCTGACATTGCACGCGCATTAATAAACTGCATCGAATGACCCATAAGCAAAGCAAAGCAAAAGCAAAAGCGAAGCGAGACACCCATCACAATCCAGCAGCATCAACAAAGAAGTTTAGGAAGAGGACACGAAGAGTAAACACACAAAAACGCGGCCTTCGGGGCTGAATTCAGACGGCGTGCAATTTCAAGTCTCTCGCTCTCCACTTGAAAAATATTTATTCCGAATGTCGAGTGAGCGAGGAGGAAGATGCTTGTGCTCTGTGCCTGACTATGATGATGATGATGAAGGGAAGAGTGAAAAAGCAGTAAAAAAAAAAGTAAATAAATAAATAAATGAGAGGAATAAAGAAGCGGCGGGCGGAAAAACGCCATTAAACTCGTTTGAACGGACGATAAATAAATTAATTGAAGCGAAATTGACTGGACATTCACTTATCAACGTCGCCGCCCACGCATCGGAAATTAGTGGAAAAAAAAGGTCAAGATAAGTGTGTCCGGGGAAAGGAAGCAAAATGTATAAAAATCTCGTATGGGAGATTACGGGACGCGCGCAGAGCGATGCAAGAAAAATTCTTTGTCTATGTCAAGTATAATGGAAATGAGTGATTCTGTTTCATTGAGCTCTGTAAACAATTTATGAGATTTATAAGAACTACTAGTTTTGATTACCTTGTTAAAATCTAAATGGAGACATAATATTGGAATTAGTTTTGTTTGTTTATTAATGCTGTTAACAATTTTCGGACGAGTGGCGGATATATCCGCCATATCCTTTATTTTACTTATGCTAAATTGCATACAAGGCCACTATGACGCAGCCATCGATTCTTAGTTCTAAGCGAGGAGCAATAGAAACAAGCTCCACTGTTACATTGAGCTATCTAAACAATTGATTAGATTTATAAGAACTACTAGTTTTGATTACCTTGTTAAAATCTGAATGGAGACTTAATATTGGAATTAGTTTTGTTTGTTTAGTAATGCTGTTAATAATTTTCGGACGAGTGGCGGATATATCCGCCATATCCTTTATTTTGCTTATGCTAAATTGCATACAAGGCCACTATGACGCAGTCATCGATTCTTAGTTCTAAGCGAGGAGCAATGAAAACAAGCTTCACTCTTACATTGAGCTATCTAAACAATTAGTTAGATTTATAAGAAGAATTGATTACCTTGTTAAAATATAAGTAGTTGGGCAGAAAAACCTGTGGTCAATAACCCTTTTAATCAGTTGACTTTTTATATATATATATTGATTTTGTTTTTTATTACTATAAGAAGAGACATACTATTGGATTTGTTTGTTAATAATTTTCGGACGAGTGGCGGATATATCCGTCACGTCCTTTATTTTGCTTATGCAATTGTATACAAGGCTACTATGATATCGAATCTTAGTTCAAAGCGAGGCGCCACTAGTATTTTTAGACAGAAACATAAAAGCTTTGACATTATTGAGTTTCAAAGAAAAAAAAAATTAAAAAAACTATTTTTAAAATTCTCCCATCAGCAAAGGGTTAAAAGTTGATCAAGACTAGTTCTGACTAGAATATTGTCAAAAGAAAAACAAAGCTTTTGTGATTAAACTCGCACAGTGCGGGTAATTATTGATTGTTTAATAATTTAATAGTTTTTTCAAACTTTTTATGTAATTTAAGCTAATTTATACTTTTTTTGTAATTTCTATGAAAGACTGAAATTTGAATTACTTATTACCATTTTCACATAATTAAAAATGAATTTTAACAATAACTTTTAATGATTTCGTTAAAACAAAATTCTCAAATATGAACATTGATTGTTTAATTAATATTCAGTTTATTGGTTAATTTATTTATCATATATTAACATATTTTCAATATTTCAAGTCAACTTGTTGATTAAAAGAAATTATGGATATCGTGCATTAGTTTTTAAGAACGTAACCAGCTTTACTAAAGTTATCTAATGCTTTGTTAGAATACTACCAACATTAATAAGGATGCAAGGATGTATTCCTAACCGAGTTATGAACGCTAACGTTTATAAGAACGCTATTCATGTTGCTGAGAATGGTATCCGGGTTACTAAGGACGCATTCGGGTTGCTAAGGACGCTTCGAACGTTGCCGAGTCCTCGTTACTACTAAGGACGCTAACCAGGTTGCTAAGGATGCTAACCAGGTTGCTAAGGACGCTAACCAGGTTGCTAAGGACGCTAACCAGGTTGCTAAGGACTCTTTAAAAGGTTGCTAAGGACGCTTTAAAAGTTTGCTAAGGACGCTTCCAACGTTGCTAAGGACGCTTCCAACGTTGTTAAGGACGCTTCCAACGTTGCTAAGGACGCTTCCAACGTTGTTAACACATTGACGACGGCATGATAATGGTTGCCAATGACGCCGTATGGTTGCTAAAGACGCTTTAATAGTTGCTAAGAACGCCGTATATTCTGGGGGCAGACAACCCGAAAAGCGCCGTCCTTAACGTGTTAAGGACGCTTCCAACGTTGCTAAGAACGCTTCTAACATTGACAAAAAGACTTCTAACGTTGCTAAGGACGCTGCCAACGTTGCTAATGACACTAAATAAGTTACTGCGAACGCTTTCAGCAAGGCTAAGGACGTGCTGAAAGTGCATGTAAAACATTGATGAACGCAAAAACGTTGAGATGCATTTGTGGATTGAGCAAGCGTGAAGGGTACGGGCCAACAGCATTCTGCAAATTGCTCGAATTACTGGAGTGCCGCCTCCGGAGGTTCGCTCGCGCCCATCCTCCGGGGACTCTTCGTGATCTCAATTGAAAAATTGCACGTAGCATTCATTACACGGCCACATAGATTATGATCATCGCCGGTAATTTGCCATTTTAATTCGCCCGGCAATTTGCGTTCGCAGATCCAAGTTCAAGAAACCAAATCAATGCTGAATGCATTAAAGATGACAGCTCGCAGAGCACCACGTTTCACACAGAACAACAAACATAAAAAGGACGATGAGCGCTCGTATACCGTACGTAATGTGTAGAGTAGTTCTTGTATTCTAGTGCACACTATAAATCTCTCTTTGCTCAGCTTTTTTTGTTTTGTTTTTCATTTCTTCACTTTTTACTCGTCGTTGGTTTTGAAAATAACATTAATACCAATAACATGGCATGATCTCACGCACAACACATTGAGTTATTATTAAATACACGACTTTTTTTTACGCACATCTCATCCAATTGAAAACTCAGTTATTATTCCATGCAACGTGCATTTAAATAAACGACAAGTTTCTTCATTTACCAATTACAACAATAAAAACATTTTCTTTTGCAGATTTTATAATACTATTCATTACCAGTTGAGTCAGCGAGAACAAACATTTTCTTTTATTATTAATAAACTCTATCACCTTTGTTTCAAAGAAAGAACAAAGAATTACCGCAAACAGATAACGCAGAACTCGTATGGGAAAAAACACGATTCCGAGCAAAAAGAGAGAAAAAAAAAGAAATACAATTCCAATTTAATTCATAAAAACTACAATGAGTAAATCAGAATTACTACAACTTATTATCAAAAGACATTCTGAAAATTACTCGAAATTGTTGCAATATTGAAAATACTTATGGAATTCCACTCGAAAACGTAAATAAAGACGAACTCATATAAATATATTTGCATTTAAGAAGATTAAATAAAAAAAAGAAAAGAGATTGTTGGCCTTCGAGACAGGTTTCAGGTTTAAAATTCAATTATTATATCAATGAGATAAAACGGTTTTAACTGAACGTTCGTGAGATGAGAAAAAAAAACGCAACAAAGAGCTGTTAATTGTACAAAGAAACTAGTTTAATCATAGGATGTGAGCAATATTGATACAAATACGTTGAATCATGAAGGCATTGTTCAAATAAAGATATTTTTTAATGATTTGAAGAAGAAATAATAACGAATCCCATATTATTATTATTGTTACATTCTTATTACTTAATGTGCAATTAATTAGGTCATATTTTCTTTGTCGTTAATGTAATAGTTTTGTCTGGTAGACCACATGTTGGTTACCATCATCCAGTTTCTTTGTAAAAAAGAATATTCAAGTTTTTCTTTTTGTCAATGGAATGAATTCGTTGTAAGCTTTGTTCATTCACGTTCGATGGAAACAATGACTGTTACCTACAAGGAATCGGATCCTCGATAAATATGGAAATATCCCCATTCATTCATCAATTTTCATAATTTCATTTTGTAAATTTCTATAATTTCTCCATATTATCATCGTTTACTTGAATATAATCTGTAAATAAATAGAGTTTAATGAATAGAAAAAGTTTTCAAATTATAAAATTAATAACATTTCTGTACTTTTTTTTATATAATGCGTTTTCAAATTATCATTTTTTTATAGTATATTCATAAGAATGTAATGAATCGTCAAAGTTTTACGAAAATAAAAACATGAATGAATGAGTGGTGAAAGGTGAATCATTAAGAATTAAGAGAAAGGACTAATGTTATTACATTGAATAAAACAGTTTGGATTTTGTAAAAAAACGATCAATAATTATCTAATAAAGTATTAATAATAAATGTAATTCGTATTTTCTTCCTTAATATTAGAAAATTAGATTAATTAATATAAATTTGTTAATGTTCATTAAAAAGATGAAACTTTAAATTTTATAAACAAATTATTTTAAATTATTAGATAATATTTGTATTAAATTAGTTTGCAGAAATCTTGTTGTTAATTAGGATAAATAGAGTTTAATGAATAGAAAATGTTTTCAAATTATAAAATTAATAACATTTCTGTACTTTTTTTTTATATAATGCGTTTTCAAATTATCATTTTTTTATAGTAAATTCATAATAATGTAATGAATCGTCAAAGTTTTACGAAAAGAAAAACATGAATGAATGAGTGAAATGTGAATCATTAAGAATTAAGTGAAAGGATTAATGTTATTACATTGAATAAAACAGTTTGGATTTTGTAAAAAAACGATCAATAATTATCTAATAAAGTATTAATAATAAATGTAATTCGTATTTTCCTCCTTAATATTAGAAAATTAGATTAATTAAGA